CCTTCTCCTCCTTCTTCCTCCTCTTCCTCTTCCTCCTCTTTCTCTTTTATTTATTTATTTATTTTGAGACAAAAGTCTTGCTCTTTCTCCCAGGCTGGAGTGCAGTGGCATGATTTCGGTTCACTGCAACCTCCGTCTCCTAGGTTCAAGCGATTCTCATGCCTCAGCTTCCTGAGTAGCACATGTCAGCATGCCCGGCTAATTTTTTGTATTTTTTAGTAGAGAAGGGTTTCACCATGTTGGCCAGGCTGGTCTCAAACTCCTGACCTCAGGTCATCCACCTGCTTTGGCCTCCCAAATTGTTGGGATTACAGGTGTGAGCTACTGTGCCTCACCTATTATTATTTTGCTGAGATAGGGTCTCACTGTCACACAGGCTGGAGTACAGTGTGTGATCATGGCTTACTGCGGCCTCAACTGCCTAGGCTCAAGCAATTCTCTCACAACAGCCTCCTGAGTAGCTAGGACTACAGATGTGTGCCACAACCTTGGCAATTAAAAAATATTTTTTTTTTAAAAAAATTCACAGCCCAGCTATAAAGTTTCCCGATAAAAAACATTTTTTTTAATAGAGAGAGAGGGGCTCACTATGTTGCTCAGGCTGGTCTTGAACTCCTGGCCTCAAGCAATCCCTCCACCTCACCTTCCCAAAGTGTTGGGAGCCACCACACCTGGTGACTGATGTTGTGTGTGTGTGTGTGTGTGTGTGTGTGTGTGTGTGTGTGTGTGTGATGGAATTTTGCTCTTGTTGCCCAGGCTGGAGTACAGTGGCATGATCTTGGCTCACTACAACCTCCACCTCCCAGGTTCAAGCGATTCTCCTGCCTCAGCCTCCCGAGTAGCTGGGATTACAGACATGCACCATCATGCCCGGCTAATTTTGTATTTTCAGTAAAGACGGGATTTCACCATGTTGGACAGGCTGGTTTTGAACTCCTGACCTCAAATGATCCACCCGCCTCAGCCTCCCAAATTGCTGGGATTATAGGCGTGAGCCACTGCGCCCGGCCATGACTGATGTTTTATCTTAACTGAATATTTTCAGTTTGGTCATTTGAAACCAAAAATTGTTGCTGTTTAAAAATACTTACTTTCTTTAACTGAATTAAATATGTTGTCAAATGAAGAACAGAAATAATCCGCTACAATAAAATCAAAAACTATTGATGCACCTATATGTGTCTAGTTTTCTTTGGGAATAATATAAATAGATATGATCCTTGGCTTTAAGATTCAATCAAAACTCTGAGCCATCCAAGTTTATATATACTTTAATAAATCACACTCAAGGAAAGGTATGTGGTTCAATGCAGTCCAAGGGAAATATGATAGTAATTTCAAGCAGGTTGGTAGCAATGAAGAAAGGGAGAAGTGTATATATTCAAGATCTTCTTAATCTATTTTATATAAAACATATTGTGAGAATAAGCTAGTCAGTAACATTTTCCAAATGACTCTTCTCTATGGACAGTAAAGGTATTTGGTGCTTTATTGTAACCAGAAACTGTATCAAAAGTTAGTAAAAAAAAAAAAAGTACAAACCTCAAAACACTGACATGATATGGGTAGAACTACTATATTGTCTCCTTTGGAATCCTAATTCATTTATTCACAAATTAAAATGTTTTCCTGCTGTGTGCCATGTGCGATGTGTTAGAACTGTATGTACATAATAGTTTTGTTTCCTGCTGTCATGGAGAAAGACAGATAATAAACAAATAAGTAGATCACTATATAATTACACATTGATCTATTTACTCATTTATGAAATAATTATTGAGCACATATTATGTGGGTTTGGGAATACAATAAAGAGCAAAATAGACTTGTCCCTCACTTCATAGCATTTACTGTCTGCGGGACGAGATGACCTACTCAAGGAGCCATGCTAGAGAAGGTACAGTTGCACCTGTGTTAAGAGCTGTGAGGGAGTGTATAACAAGGTAATGTGATCTCACAAGGAGGTCAAGGGAGGCTTCCCTGAGGACACCGAGAATCAATGGAGAACTGAAGGATGAGAAAGAGTTAGCTAGGCAAATGGAGGGAGAAGAGAGCATAACGGACAGCAGGAACAGCATGTGGCAAAGGCCATGGTATGTCCTAGAGGCTGCAAGACAGTGTGGCTGGAAGAGGAAGATGAACTTGTGGAGGAGACAGAGAGGGAGCAGCAGGAGGTGAACGAGAGGAGGTGGTTTCAAGAAGAAGGACACGGACAGCAGAGTCAGAGGTTAATACGAGAGCTGAAAAATGCCCCCTGGATTTCACAACATGTAGGTCCCTGGTGAGGTCAGTGGAATGACCTGCCAGAAGCCAGAATGGCATGGCTTGAGAGTGAATGGAAGGTGAGGAAATGTAGGGATCAAGAGCATTGATTAGGAATTGCATTTGGCCACATGTAATGGAATCTGCTGAAGATAGCTTAATTATATTGGGTTATTTCTTTCACATAACAAGAATGACAGAGGTTGACAGTTCAGGCTGGTGCAGTGGCTCCACAATGTCATCAATGTTCTAGAATCCTTCATCTTTCTGCACTGTCATCCTTAGTATTGGCTTTTTTTTTTTTTTTTAAACAGTGTGAGTGTAAGAGTGTAAGAAGGCTGCTAATTCTCAAGTCAGTGTTTCAGATAGGAAAAAGGAAGAAACATCAAGGGGGAAAGGTTGGTGCCATTTTAGGAAAGCAAACATTTGCTATAAATTCCCAGATGACTTCAGCTCACAAATCACTGGCCATAACTGTGTCACATGGCCACTCCTAGCTGCAAGGGAGGCTGGGAAATGTAGCTCTTTAGCTGGACCCATTGTTGCTCCCCTCCCACAAATCAGTTTTTGTTAGAAAGAAGGGGAGGTGGATTTGGGGAAGGTAACTACAGCAGCTACACAGCAAACACAAATCACACATTCAAAAAGTGTGTCCATAAAGGAAAGGAGAGAGATGAGATGATCTTTGGAAGGGGATGTGGGACTGAGAGACTTCTTTAAAAATGGGTATGAGGCTGGGTGTGGTGGCTCTTGCTTGTAATCCCAGCACTTTGGGAGGCCAAGGTGGGTGGAGTTTGAGACCAGCCTGGCCAACATGGTGAAACCCCATCTCTACTAAAAATACAAAAATTAGCTGGCATTGTGGTGGGTGCCTGTAATCTCAGCTACTTGGGAGGCTGAGGCAGGAGAATCACTTGAATCTAGGAGGTGGAGGTTGCAGTGAGCCAAGATAGCACCATTGCACCCCAGCCTGGGCAACAAGAGTGAGACTGTCTTAAAAAATAAATAACAAATAAATAAAAATAAAAATGGGAATGACTTGAATGTGTTGAGAGCTCAATTCAGAGGATCTAATCAGGGTAGGTGGGGAGAGATGGAATGTACAAGAGCAGAAAAAGAACTGATAAAGTAGTACCCTTTAGAAGCAGGGAGGTAATGGACTACAATTCAGGAAGAAGGGGTTAACATTAAAGAGCAATCAGTATAAATTCTCTATTGTAACTACAGGAAGGAGGAAAGGTAGGCTTATATGTTTTATATTGAGAAGATGGGGCTTCTATTTCCTCTACAACGTAGGAGGTGAGGTGAGCTGTTGCCAGTGAGAGGGTAAGAGGGGGTGGTCAGAGATTTGAGAAGTTAAAGTTGGAAATCACTGGTGTGGAGACTGATGAGTCATTTGATCTGAGACATTTAGCAGCAGACATTTCTATGATGGTAATGATATGAACTGTCATATTTCCCAAGTGGACCAGTGACTAGCATGAAAGGTCTTTAAAAGTACCTAATCGATGGAATCAAACACTGAACATAATGAATTTTCCATGCTCTACCTAATAAAAGCCTAATTGTTCATGTTCCTGTTGAATGAAAGATTCATTGCTACACTGCTCAGGGAAGAAAAGTTTAGTAATCTTCAACTGCTAGAGAAATGTATTCATGGATGCTAAAGTATTATGCAAAAATGAAAAGTCAGAAAATCCAGGGACAAGCTGTACCACACATACAGAATCCTTGGATTTTTGAGAAATGGGGAAAAATTGAAGAAGTATGTATTTGTGTGTGAAGGGCACAAATCTAAGGAAAAATTGGAATAGAGCAAAATTACAATAATCATATCTTCTGGAACACTTTTATAAAGCCAAAATTATCTTTCAGTACTTTTTTGGTCCATCAGGAATAGATCTGGAGTGTCTAAATTGGTGTGTGTGTGTATATAAATTACTGCATTTTCTTACATGCCAACAAATTCCATTTCAACCTGAACTTGACATGAGAAGTCTGAAAGTGCCTTATAATTAAAGCTTTAGGCATATTCAGCTGCATCTTGAGGGGATACATTATTTGAGTTTGTGGAAAGTTATGTCCCCTTGACAAAAATCTACTGTGCTTCATAAATTGAGAAATCCAGTTATCTGATTGTTTTAAATGAGTGGTATGAAGATTAAAAAGGGGTAAAGAGAAAAACAGAATCAATATTTAGCTTTTACTGACAGAATATAAAAGACGATTGTATTAGTCTGTTCTCGTATTGCTATAGAGAACTACCTGACGCTGGTAATTTATAAAGAAAAGAGGTTCAGTTGGCTCACAGTTCAGCAGCCTGTACAGAAAGTAAAGGAAACTTACAATCATGGCGGAAGGCTAAGGGGAAGCAGGCACGTCTCACATGGCTGGAATAGGAGAGAGAGAGAGGAGGGAGGTGCTACACACTTATAAACAACCAGATCTCAGGCATGGTGGCTCATGCCTGTAATCCCAGCACTTTGGGAGGCCCAGGCGGGTGGATTGCTTGAGGCCAGGAGTTCAAGACCAGCCTGGGTAAGATGTTAAAACCCGTCTCTATTTTTAAAAATATAAAGAACAACCAGATCTTGTGAGAGGTCACTCACTATCATGAGAACAGCACAGGGGAAATCTGCCCCCAGGATCCAGTCACCTTCCATGAGGCCCCTCCTTCAACACTGGGGATTACAATTTGACCTGAGATTTGGGCAGTCATGTAAATCCAAACAATTATCAATAATGAACTTGCTTCCTTTAATTGTTTTTTCAGAAGTAATCTTAGGTCACTTTTTCTTGTGCTACATTATTTTGTAAGTATACATCATATATATATATTTTAAGATTACACAATAATTTATTTGTTGAGAGCCTCCTCTCCCCGCCCTTGCAGTCTCTAGGTCACTTTTTCCACTTGTAGATTTTGTGCACAAGCCCCAGAAAGATAGCTGGGGGCAGGGGTGCTGCATACTGTTCAGTGAGACCCATAATGTGGCTGTAACTGTCTTCCTCATACTGTGAGAACACGGCCGGCAGATCCCGCTCCTCATATAATGCCTTCACCCGGGCCACCTTCTCAGCCTCCTTCTGCCCGTAATTTTCCTTCATGATCTGTACTGTTCTAGAGTGACCTGCTGCAGATACTGAACTACCAGTCAGCTGCATTTGTTGTCCTGGATGTCAGTGCCAACTTTGCCAGTCACACTGGGGTCCCTAAAGAGGTCAAGGTAATCATCCTGAATCTGAAAGAACTCTCCCATCTCCAGCAGGATCTTCTTGGTGTTGGCATGCTCCTTCTCACCATCAATTCCCGCCATGTACATGGCTGCAGCTATAGGAAGGTAGAAGGAGTAGAAAGCCGTCTTGTACTTGACAATAGATTTGTACCTCTTTTCAGTGAATCTGCCAAGATCCGAATTGCCCTGGGGGCCTGTGATGAGGTCCAGGTCTGCCCAATCTCAGTCTGATAGGAACTCTGCAGGAAGAGCTTGATCAGGTTCAGGTAAGAGGGCTGCTCCCAGCAGTAGAGCTTCAGCAGGCAGTAGATACATGCTTCCAGAAGGATAGCATCATTGATGGGCATCCAAACCCACACCTGGCTTCTGATACCAGCAGATCTGTCCCTGGCAGGTGAGGGATGAATCCATGATGTCATCTGCTGCCAGGAAGAAAGCTTGCAGCAGTTCCACACACCAGCCCACAGTCAGGGCCCGCTGGAGACTATCAGCATCCTGTTTCCTTGGCTCCACCAGCTCCCGGAATGCTACCAGCACCGTCAAACCCTGGTGATACTTGCCTCCAATGGCATTGTACTCCAGGACCTCCTTAAGCCGGGCAATAGCATCTCCTGTCTCTGGGTGCCCCATCTCATCCTCAGTCAGCACCCTAACGATCTGGGAGAAGTGCTGAATGAAATCCTGCTTTTCTTGGACATAAACATCTGATTTCTGGTCTCCATTCATTCTGAGGGAGGAGCAAAGGGCTCTGTTCCTGGATGCGGGTTTCTGCTCCACATCTTATATTTTTAAAGAATGTTTAAATTTTAATATAACTGCCCCCCATTGCTACTAAGGAAGATGCAGTAAGAAATCACTGGAAAAAGGCACGGTTCAGTCATTCTATAGCTCAAGCCCAAGAAACATGGAAAATCAGAAGGGAAAAATGCATGCAATAAATGCTAGAATTTTTAAAAATGACTTTGTATTCTGCTACCTAAATGTTTTATCTATGAAAGACCTACCACCTCCCCATCTTAATAGAGTAATTGCTACTTAATTTCTATCATCTAAAATATTGATACCCAATTGGAACCCAGTCCATGAAAATGGACTTTTTCAAGACCCCAACTTCAAAAGATTCCTTTGCCAAATGTATTTGTTGCATTTGATAGTGACACATAACAATCTCTTCTTCTGCTGCTAGAAATGGAATTTTATCTATATTTAATTTGTAATTTTAACCAATTCTATCATTTTAAGTTTCCATTTGCAGCATTAAAAGCAAATTCTACTTCTGATTATATTTCAAAAGGTCAGAACCTTCTCTTAATATGTTTTTCTATTTGTTGGTCTCCTTGTTTCACATATTTGTTGTCAAATGGCATGTCTGACAATGTCTTTTCAGTTAAGTATTTTTCCTAATAACTGATCATGACAATACATCTGGCCACAGGATTCATACTACTACAATGTTAGACCAGATTCATCTAAGTAGTGGAGTGTTGTAGCTTTGCCCAACTGAGTAAATATCTGGCCTCTCGTTAGGTGTTGCTACAATCACAAAAGTAGGCCTTTATGGCAGTTCCATTCCTAGTTGGACAGATGAAGGATTCATCCCTGAAACAACTGGCAAATAATTTGAGGAAAATCTATCCATACATGTGAAACTATAGTGGATATTTACCTATTGCTTTTGCCTATCTAACCTCGATTCCTGCCTTTTCTACTGACAGCACACTGATAGTCCCTGGGGAATCCATCCCTTCCCACTCTTGATCCATTTGGCTTGGATGGGGCTATCCCACTCCTTAGATCCAGGATGAATGTACAGTTCATGCCTGGCTCATGTTTGCATTTCATCCACTTGACAATAGTGATTGGCTTCAAGATGAAAACATGACTCAAAAGAGTAAAATCAGAACTCATCCCAAGACTTGCTGGAATTATTTGAAAAGCAAAACTCTCTGTCTTCCAGGGTTATTAAGCTAGAAGGGTACAATTCTGGAGCCACTGGTAGACATCTTGTCTCTACCTATAGAAAGCCTGCTTGAGAGTGAAGCCCAGGATTTTATATCTAGCAAAATGTCCACAAATATAAAAGACACAAACAATCTGCTATCAGGAAATATGTTGTCATGTGCCTTTCCTCAGGAATATATTAAAGAATGGGCTGGCCAGGCGCGGTGGCTCACGCCTGTAATCCCAGCACTTTGGGAGGCTGAGGTGGGCGGATCACCTGAGGTGGGGAGTTGGAGACCAGCCTGACCAACATGGAGAAACTCCATCTCTAAAAAAAAAAAATTACATACACAGTTACTTATAGATCTAAGACAAATGAGCGTAGAAAGAGAGAGTATAGCATGTAATGGCTACATGCTCTGGTTAGTGTACTTAAAGAACAGATGCTTTTACGCAGGGGAAATGGAGACAGCACAGGCAAAAATATTAGCTGTTTTCAGTAAACACATCAGTGGTGGTACTGTTAGTGTTGCTAATAGCATCGAAACTATGAGTTACTCTAACTCTCATTCCCTGTGTTCTTGAGAATCAGGATTTTTGGTGTAAAAGAAAGAAGATATAAATGTGATAAAGAAGAAGGTAAGTAAAAATGCTGAATTTGAATTGAAAGTGTGTGCCTGCACAAATTTATGAGATGCTTTATCTTTAAAAACTAGATATACATTTCCAAGGCCTGTCTACTGAAAAGGCCTAAAAATATTGATCATTCTAGAAGCAATAAGCATCCCTAGCACCTAGATTGTTGTCTTGAAATACCATCTCTCATACTGGTTGGGAAATGGCCTCTAACCTGATCCCCTAAGAGCCCTGCTGCTGCCCAGCCCCTCTAGAGATCCTCAAGAAACACACACTAAAACATTAATACATAGTACTGTAGGGGGGCTTCAGGACCTTTCTCCAGCCCTGTGGCTGGTGTCCATTCTGACTAGTTGGCCTCCCATACCCACAGCCATGCCCCTTCCAGCTGAATATCTTCCCACCCCACCCCCATCATGAACATCATGAACTTACCTTTGTCATGCATTATGCTAGGATATTCACTGCAGTATCAGTCACTTCTTCTTTAAAAACATAATTTTTCTTCTAGAGAAGTCAAAGAGTGGCTTCTAGAGACTTTTTCTTCTAGAGAAGTCAAAGGGTGCAGTGGCTTATGCATGTAATTTCCACACTTTGGGAGGCCAAGGCAGAAGAATTGCTTGAGTCTAGAAGTTTGAAACAAGCCAGGGCAACATACTGAGACCCTGTCTCTAAAAAAATTAAAAAATTTAAAAAAAAAATTAGCTGGGTGTGGTGGTGTGTACCTGTAGTCCCACCTATTTGGGAGGTTGAGGTTGGAGGATGTTGGAGCTGGGGAGGTCAAGGCTGCAGTGAACCATGATTGCATCACTACATTCCAGCCTGAGAGACAGAGGAAGACCCTGTCTCAAATATATATATGATATAATCATATACATAATGATATATGATACAAAATATGTTTTATTATATATAATATATATCTTTATTATATATTATATATAAATATGTATTTTATTATATATAGTTATATATAATAAAAATTTCTTCTGAACCAGTTTTGTGGAAAAAAAAGAAAACAAAAAATAAATAAATAAAATTAAAAATTAAAAGAGTGGAAAAACCCAAATAGCTTCCTTATGTCTTCTTTTTTTATTTTTTGTAGAGACAGGAGTCTCACTATTTTGCCCTGGCTGGTCTCGAACTCTTGGCTCAAACAATCCGCCCACCTCAGCCTCCCAAAGTGCTGAAATAACAGAAGTAACTCACAGGGCCAGGTCAAGATGGGGTCTGAGGCTGTACCCAATTTAATTCCATAGGCAATCTGTCAATTACATTCTATACATTCCTTCAAAAAACAAAGTAAAACATTTCAAGTTAAATTCTGACCTTTTTCTAAAGTCTCAAAGGATTTTAAAAGTAGACAGGATTTTTAAATTTATGTTCTGTCCATCTGTGGTGGTGGCTCATGCCTGTAATCCCAGCACTTTGGGAGTCTGAGGCAAGTGGATCACCTGAGGTCAGGAGTTCAAGACCAGCCTGGCCAATATGGTGAAAACCTGTCTCTACTAAAAATACAAAAATTAGCCAATTGTGGTGCCTGTGATCCCAGCTGCTCCGGAGGCTGAGGCAGAAGAATCGCTTGAGCCCACAAGATGGAGGTTGCAATGAGTCGAGATGGCGTCACTGCATTCCAGCTTGGCTGACAAAGCGAGACTCTGTCTCAAAAAATAAATAAATAAATAAAATGTTTTTATCATTTTTTCCTCCTGGTTATATAGTTGGTGGACGTCAAGTCACCAGTGTTCTGGAATTGGTTTAATATGATCTAATAGCACTATTTGTTCCCTGTACTCCTTTTTCTATGGTCATTTACTCTAAAGCATAATTTCATAGATTAATATTTACTGAGTTGTATTTTGAGCCAGTTGGCAAAGCATTCATTTTAATACATCTAGTTATAGAATTAGCATTAAAATTTTTTTTTGTAATTGCTACTTTAAACTTTTTGGATCTTGACAGTTATTCACCTTCCTAGTAAAAAGCTGTTTAACAATTTGATATATTTTAATTAAAAATACCTACCTCCTATTTACAAGAGACACAAATAGAACAAAATGCCAGCTGGGGGCGATGGCTCATGCCTGTAATCCCATCACTTTGGCAGGCCGAGGTGGGCAATCACCTGAGGTCAGGAGTTCGAGACCAGCCTGGCCAACATGATGAAACCACATCTCTACTAAAAATACAAAAACTAGCGGGGCATGGTGGCACATGCCTGTAATCCAATCCCAGCTACCTGGAAGGCTGAGGCAGTAGAATCACTTGAACCTGGGAGGCAGAGGCTGCAGTGAGCAGATTCAGCCATTGCACTCCAGCCTGGGCGACAGAGCGAAACTCCGTCTCAAAAAAAAAGTCAGGGAAAAAGTTAAAAATAAAGGTATGGAAAAAGATTCAGTAGGAAAATACTAACAAAAAGGCAGATATAGCACTTTTATACTCATTATTCTTTTTGGATAATATTCAATATAGCAGCACTGCAGTATAATCCATATATAGTTGTTTTATGGAGTAAGTAATCTGAGAAAAAAACAGGTAATAGAGATGATTTTCTAAGCCCACTGTATGACTCTGGCTTTATCCCCACCCCATTGCCTATTGCATCCCCCACAATTCAATAGGCTCCCAGTTCCAGTTTCCCAGTATTTTTACATCCACTTCCAATGGACTCTGGACACATCCCTTCAAGTCTTTCCTTCAAAATCTAGCACTGAATAAAACCAACTATACCTGCAACTGGGGCTCAACGCACCTTAAAGTCAACATCTTAATCTTCGCCCATGCCCAGTGACACCTTGGCTTGGTGTCGGCCCCCTGCAAGCCTGCCCACATCAACTCCAGCTGGATCCATCACAGACCTGAACTCAGGCTGAATCTCCATTTAGTGAGAAGCTTTTCAGGATCCTGAGTCTCAGCCCAGTCTGTTGAGACCTCCAGCCCTGAACTCTGGACTCAGCACTTGGGCACTGAGCTTTTTCTCCTCTGTGCATGATTTAAGAGCCCACCCAACTGTGGTAGTTCTTCCTCCTTTCCCCCTCAACTCCAAACAATTACATTTATACCCAGGCTTACTTTTCCCCTAAATACATATTACGCTGAATGTTACCCTCTTATTGTGTGCTAGGCATTCGATCACCAACTCTAGTTTTTTTAAAAATAAGTTTTGACTATGATCCACAGTAATATATATATATATATATATATTTATATATATATATATATATATATGTTTACATTATGACAAGGTATAAGGTTTTCTCTAAATAATACTTAATCCCTTACCATGTGGCAATGCAATCTGATATTTTCTTTTTTATTCTATTTTTAAAATTCAGCCATTAAATCGATTTCTTTAACAACTATGGGGTCAAGACCCTCAGTTTGAAAACACTTGATCTAGAGAGACTCCTCTGTCCCCCTAACACTTTGTTGGTATATTGTTGATCAGAACCAGGTCAGATAATATGAAAGCATATCTAAAGCAATCACTGCCTTGTTTCCTGGATTTCCTAAGGAGCCATCCTTACCTATGGGACAATAGTCCCCACGGTGTAAAAGATGTACCTTCAGTACTATTGTTGTTGGAAATGGTGGAGACTTATTTAAAGCCTTCTAGAAAACATTCACAATTTGAAATCTTGTTAAAGACCGCAGGATTGAAAGTGAGGCAACCCAAGTCCTTGTCTCAACCTGCCACTGATCACTGATCACTGGGAGATAAATCACCCAGCCTCTCTGAACTAAAGGGTCTCAGTCTAGAGGATTGTATATAAATCTGATGATTCATTCACTCATTCATTTGATCATTCATTTGACAAATGCTTCAGTAACTATGTACCAGGAAGGTAAAGACCTGGCTGTCACTGTTCATCTGACAATTCAAGCTGGAGGAGCCCCAAATTTATCACCCATTGTATGTCATAATATGCCCGGGTTCTTCATCAAATTCATGATTCATCATTCACCGCAGGGGAATAAGCTACTTCCTATAAGCACAGTATCCAGAAAAATTATGTTCATTTATATAAACCATTTAATAAAAATCTCTCTAAGGTGTTTAAATACTACATTGTACCTAATTTCGTTAATGGTTTAATTAATTCTAACAGGAGCTTACTTTTATTTAAATTTTATGAATTCTTATGCAAGTTTAATTTAAAATGTCCAAAATGTGATTTTTGCTCTAATTGGTTCTTCTTTTTTTGGAGGGGACAGAGTCTTGCTCTGTCGCCCAGGCTGGAGTGCAGTGGTGTGATCTCAGCTCACTGCAACCTCTGCCTCCTGGATTCAGGCAATTCTCATGCTTTAGCCTCCTGAGTAGCTGGGATTATGGGCGTGGGCCACCAAGCCTGGCTAATTCTTGTGTTTTTATGGAGATTTGCCATATTGGCCAGGCTGGTCTAGAATCCCTGGCCTCAAGTGATCCACCTGCCTCAACCTCCCAAATATTTTATTTTCTTCACCATTTGTTAACTCCTTTAGTTGAACTGTAACACCAGATGAGTTCTCACAGTAAGTGGTAAGAATATTACCAAAAGGCATTTCTACAGCAACATAGGCAGTGATAGCTTAACCTTACACAAAAGAGATTGTGAATTACGTAAACAATTACAC